TTGGGTGGGTGTTCTTGGTTGGGCTCAGAGTTCCGGGCATGCAGTGTGGGGCTGCTGTGGAGTGACTGCCACTTCCCCAACAGCGCTGCTGAGTGGCTTTGGGGGGTGTGTGTCCCTTCCAGAGGCAGGGAGTTACAACGGAAACCTTCAGGGGAAGAAGTGAAAGGCACTGCTTGAAGCATGGGACTTTTGTTCTGTGCACAATGCCCTATTTCCTTGGTTGAAGCCTTGAGGAAACAGAGCATGGCCACTTTTGCAGACAGATCCAGCACCACCTTCTCAGACGTAGAGTGGGCCATTCTTTTCCTTGGTTTCTTAAGGGAAGCGTGTTTGAACAGTGTTTGTCTTTCTCCTCAGCTGATTTTGGCCTCTGTGCTCAGCTCACCCCTGAGCACAGGAAACGGAGCTCCACGGTCGGGACTGTTTACTGGATGGCCCCTGAAGTTGTGAGAAGCCAACCCTATGGCCCCAAGGTGGACATCTGGTCTCTTGGCATCGTGGCAGTCGAGATGCTGGAAGGAGAGCCTCCTTACTTTAAGGAAAGCCCTTCCATGGTAAGGTGTAAATACCCTCAGGCACCAGCGTCTTTGGAATCCCTCCCATCTTCTGCCTCCCACGAGTCAAAATGCCATTCCCACCAGCTTGAACTCCTTCCACCAAGGTCCACTTCTAAAAATCTCCCTGCATGCCAGCTGCATCCCAGGAAACCAAGTTCTGCTTCCCAGAGACCTTTTGGCACAGTTGTAGAAATATTGCAAAGGGCTGGTACCTGGCTAAAAAGGACTCCCTGATCATTCATGGTCCTGAAGAAACTGGCAAGCGAAAGAGCTCCACTTGTCCTGGCCCTGGTGCTTGGCAGTCGGGTGACTGTGGCTGGAATCCCCCATCTGCAGTTGGCACGGGTGCCGTGTTCCCTTCTGCTGCAGGAGCAGGGACGTCCCTCGGGGAGCACAGTTCCAAACACAGGGAGGACAGGCACTGCAGCTCCCCACTGTGTCCAGTGGCTGGGACCAGCTGCAGAGGGACAGCAGGAGGCTG